TTTTCTAAAAAAGAATAATATTTTATAAACTATGGATGGAGACTTTATACGGGCTTTACTTAGTATTTAAGATGTTAAGATGTAAAGTTGTCAAATAATTCAAATAAAAACAACAACACGAAAGTATTATGTTTTCAAATAAATAAAAACGAAAAAATCAAATTGAATATAACGTTTTATAATGGGTTTGATTTAAAAAAATTATATTAAATATTCTTTAAAAAATCCACGCCTTGTATGGATGCTTTTCAAAAATATTCTTTAAAAAATCCACGCCTTGTATGGATGCTTTTCAAAAATATTCTTTAAAAAATCCACGCCTTGTATGGATGCTTTTCAAAAATATTCTTTAAAAAATCCACGCCTTGTATGGATCCTTTTCAAAAATATTCTTTAAAAAATCCACGCCTTGTATGGATCCTTTTCAAAAATATTCTTTAAAAAATCCACGCCTTGTATGGATCCTTTTCAAAAATATTCTTTAAAAAATCCACGCCTTGTATGGATCCTTTTCAAAAATATTCTTTAAAAAATCCACGCCTTGTATGGATCCTTTTCAAAAATATTCTTTAAAAAATCCACGCCTTGTATGGATCCTGGATCCTTTTCAAAAATATTCTTTAAAAAATCCACGCCTTGTATGGATCCTTTTCAAAAATATTCTTTAAAAAATCCACGCCTTGTATCGATCCTTTTCAAAAATATTCTTTAAAAAATCCACGCCTTGTATGGATCCTTTTCAAAAATATTCTTTAAAAAATCCACGCCTTGTATGGATCCTTTTCAAAAATATTCTTTAAAAAATCCACGCCTTGTATGGATCCTTTTCAAAAATATTCTTTAAAAAATCCACGCCTTGTATGGATCCTTTTCAAAAATATTCTTTAAAAAATCCACGCCTTGTATGGATCCTTTTCAAAAATATTCTTTAAAAAATCCACGCCTTGTATGGATCCTTTTCAAAAATATTCTTTAAAAAATCCACGCCTTGTATGGATCCTTTTCAAAAATATTCTTTAAAAAATCCACGCCTTGTATGGATCCTTTTCAAAAATATTCTTTAAAAAATCCACGCCTTGTATGGATCCTTTTCAAAAATATTCTTTAAAAAATCCACGCCTTGTATGGATCCTTTTCAAAAATATTCTTTAAAAAATCCACGCCTTGTATGGATCCTTTTCAAAAATATTCTTTAAAAAATCCACGCCTTGTATGGATCCTTTTCAAAAATATTCTTTAAAAAATCCACGCCTTGTATGGATCCTTTTCAAAAATATTCTTTAAAAAATCCACGCCTTGTATGGATCCTTTTCAAAAATATTCTTTAAAAAATCCACGCCTTGTATGGATCCTTTTCAAAAATATTCTTTAAAAAATCCACGCCTTGTATGGATCCTTTTCAAAAATATTCTTTAAAAATGCCACGCCTTGTATGGATCCTTTTCAAAAATATTCTTTAAAAAATCCACGCCTTGTATGGATCCTTTTCAAAAATATTCTTTAAAAAATCCACGCCTTGTATGGATCCTTTTCAAAAATATTCTTTAAAAAATCCACGCCTTGTATGGATCCTTTTCAAAAATATTCTTTAAAAAATCCACGCCTTGTATGGATCCTTTTCAAAAATATTCTTTAAAAAATCCACGCCTTGTCTGAGGGCTTTTCAAAAATATTCTTTAAAAAGTCTACGCATTGGTAAAGTACTTACTTAGCGGGCTTGTTACAGAACGGTTGTTCCATAAGCCGAGCTTAAAAAAGATTTCCAAGCGCGTCGGTCTTGTGCGCAAATCCACCAATCTAATTCGTCGCCTTCCCCTTCTACGGGAACCATCAGTAGGCTCGCTTTTATATGCCTTTTGAGCTGGGGCATTCTCTTTCATTCGCACAACATGGTCTAGCCACCGTAATCGCTGCAGCTCAATACGACTGACTATGTCGATGTCCGGGTATAAATTTTAAAGCGCATGGTTCATTCGACACCGATATTCACCGACGCAGATCGGCCGTAGATCTTCCAGAGAATTTTTCTTTCAAACACCCCAAGAGCTGCCTTATTTGCTTACGCAAGTAACCATGCTTCAGATCCATATAATAGCACGGGTAGTATCAGCGTCTTGTAGAGTGTGAGTTTGGTCTGGCGGGAGGTGGCCTTGTTTCTAAACTGCTTACTTAGACCATAGTAGCATCGGTTGGCCATCACAATCCTTCACCGAATTTCAAAACTGATATTATTCGTTTTATTTATGGCGGTACAAAGGTATATAAAGTCTTTGACTGCCTCGAAGCTGTAGTTCTCAAGTTCCACAGTTTGTCCGAGTCTACTGGACGTCTTGCTGTTATTACCATCAGCTTGGTCTTCTCGCCGTTTACTGCCAGACCAACTTTGGCAGACTCCTCTTCAATTTGTTCAAAGGTGGATGTTACCGCTCGCAATGTTCGACCCATTATGTCGATGTCATCGGCGTAGGCGAGTAAAATGTGTTGTTTGGTGTACAGAGTGCCAATTCTGTTCACCTTTGCGTCTCGTATGACCTTTTCCAGCAGGATGTTAAAAAGATCACACGACAAACTGTCACCTTGTCTGAATACTCGTTCGGTATTGAAGGGCTCCGATAGGTCCTTTCCTACTTTAACTGCTGACCTTGTGTCACTTAAAGCTATCCTGCATAGCCGTATTAATTTTGTAGGAATGCCGAACGTAGACATGGCTTTAAACACCTCTGAACGGATAGGGCTGTCGAATGCAGCTTTATAGTCGACGAAAATGTGGTATGTTCGATGTGTTCTTCGTGGGTCTTTTCCAGGATTTGGCACAGAGTGAAAATCTGGTCAATGGTGGATTTGCCAGGTCTGAAGCCGCATTGGTATGGTCGAATGATGTCATTGACCATTAGCTTCAGTCGTTCACACAGCACACTGGATAACACTTTGTATGCAATGGGAAGGAGACTTATTCCTCTCCTTTTTGTGCACGGGACACAGGATGCTGAGGTTGCATTCATTTGGCATGCATTCCTCTAGCCAAATTGTGCTAATCAGCTGGTGCATGCTGCTGACCAGCATCTGGCCACCAGTCTTGAATAGTTCGGCTGGTAACCCATCGGCACCTGCTGCTTTATTGTTCTTGAGCCGATTAATTGATTTTATGACCTCATCTTGGCTAGGCGGTGCACACTCTATACCACCAGAAGCTTTTCGAAATGCTCCTTCCAGATCCTCAACATGCTGTCTGTATCTGTCATCAGGTTTCCTTCTTCATCTCTACAGGAGGATGTGCCTGCACCAAAACCTTCGGTTTGGTGTTTTATTCGTTGCTAGAATTTCCGCAATTCATTCTGACTCCTGTACATCTCGATTTGCTCACGCTCACGTTTTTCTTGTCTGCAGGGTTGCCCTATACGCTGCGTTTTTCACATCAGTAACATTACGACACTCCTTATCGTACCATGGGTTTCTTGGTGGTGGTTTTTGGTACCCAAGTGTGGCTTTTGCTTCAGTTTGTAGGGAGTGGGCAATTCATTGCCATTGTGCTTCTATACTATTATCGGGACAAGAAGTGATTTCTTCAAGCAGCTGGGTAAGTTGAGCGGAGTAGGCCTCGGCTATTTGTTGTGTTTGCAGCTTTTCGACGTCGAGTTTCCGTGTTGTGTTAGATCGCACCTTTGCTGCTACATTAAGACAGGTGCGTACCTTGGCTGCCACAAAGTAATGGTCCGAATCGATATTCGCTCCTCTGATCGATCGGACGTCTAACGCATTGGATGAATGCCTTCCGTCTATCACAACATGATCAATTTGATTTCTCGTTGCTTGATCAGAAGAGATCCAGGTGGCCTTGTGTATATCGAGATGCTTGAATCTGGTGCTGCTATGTTTTTTTTTTTTTTTGCTGCCGCAAAGACAATCAACCTCATGCCGTTATCGGGTGTTTCTTCATGAAGGCTGAATTTTCCGACGGTGGGGCCAACGATATTTTCCCTCCCGACTTTTGCATTAAAATCTCCTACAGAATTTTTATGTCATGGCCAGGGCAACGGTCATATGCTGATTCTAGGCGCTCGTAAATATGTCTTTGGTCTGTTCATCTTTATCTTCGGTCGGACCATGGGCGCAAATGAGACTGATGTAGAAGAACAACGCTTTTATACGGATTGTAGCAATTCGCTCATCTACTGGAGTGAATCTGGAGAAGAGGTCTTTTATTCTCCTGCTAACCATAAATCCGCAGCCAAATTCATGTCTCGTTTCATGGCAGCTATTATGCTATTATTATGCTGCGCCTGTTCTTTACAACGTGCGCACATTCCTAGTACAGATTCGCAGATCGTGGTCCTTAATACGTTTGCGGGGGTCGTCAACATTAGGGGGTTTTGGTTTTCTTTTTCTTTGCTTTTTCATATTAGATTGGGTTTTCCGAGAATGGGCAACTAACCCGACGCCTCAACCAATTTTTTTATAGTTCTTATGGGTGAACTCGCGGCACATATTAGCTCACTATTTCATCGGGTGATGAAAATAGCTCCCCAGGTGGCACCGCGGGGAGGACAGTATCCACAATTGAGATGAAAGAGAGACCAAGGTAAGCCTGGACTTCGTCATGTTAAAGCCAATCAGAACCGTTGCTTGGTATCTATCATCCCCTACGCCACGCATTGATAACGGCTTTTCAAAAATATTCTCTAAAAAATTTACGTCTCTGATATTAATTAAAAAAAATATTCTTATTGGACTTCTTCGTTTTCACTTTTATGCCCACTGTACATGTTATTACCTAAACAAGTTATCATAATTTAAAGTGACTACTAGTTGATATTCAAATTATCTATTTAAGTGGGGAGAGAGGGACTCTTTCTCTCTCTCATACTCAAATCTAAACAATTTATTTTTGGGAGAATAAAATTTTGTTTTTTAGTAAACAAATTAAAAAAATCGCAAAGAATGCCAGTTATGAGGCGAAGTGAATGAGAATTTGCAATTCAGTATCGAGTGGGAACGTGATCATGGCAGAAAGCACGCAAAGCCTAACTGTGGAAATTTTAAACAAAAACGATTGTTTGACAATTATTAAGAATTGTTTAAATTTGCTCGGTGACAATGATTTTGAATTGCTGTCATATCAAGTTGTGAAACCCTCCGGCGATTTGGTGGGCTTTATGGGCGAATACTATAAACTGCATGTGGATATTAGGGAAAAAGTGAGTTCAAAATTAAAAAAAAAAATACTTAATTTTCTCTCTCCCCCTCCCAGAATTCGAATGCTCTCCGAACCCTAAAATTCTTTGTAAAAAGTATACCCGTCACCAATGAGGTTTATCGCGATGAATGTGAACGTAAGGGTTTCTTTCGCAAGGAATCTCGAATCTATGCTGATATTTTACCAAATCTGCAACGCTATGCTTCGTCGGATTTATTTCCCAAGTCGTATTTGGTACGTTCTGATATTTTAGTTTTGGAAGATTTTTCGCTACCTGAAAAAGGTTTCCAGCAATTATCGCCCGCGGATATTTACACCACCAAACATTTGCAATTGTGTGTGCAATTATTGGCCCGATTTCATGCGGCCAGCTTGGCATGGGAGACCAAGGAGTCCATTAATATTGGTGAGAAATTCCAAGATGTTCTCATTGAAATGCAGCTGACCGCAAAGAATGAATGGTATATCACGGGCATCAAGGTAAGCAATTTAATATCTCAAAATTATCCCTTTCAAATTCTAATTTATTTTCAGGCCGCCCTGTATTTAGCCCAAATACACCCCAAGTACCAATACCCCGAGGCCCAAGAATTCATTAACGGAAAACTCTATCAACTATTTCTCGATATGGAACAATTTGCCAATGCCTCCACGACTCTTCGCAATGTTCTCTGTCATCGTGATTCCTGGAATAGTAACATCTTTTGGAAATTTAACCCAGATACCAACGAACCCCTCGAATGTCGTATTGTTGATTTTCAATTAACCCGTTACAGTCCACCGGCCATTGATGTTTTGAATTTCCTTTATAATAATTTTGAAACTTCCGAACGTAGGGACAAAGAAGTACCTGAACTTTTGAAATATTATTACAGCACTTTGAAGGAGGAATTAAAGCAGTTGGATCTACCGGAGGATTTAATACCGCAGCAGGAATTCGATGAAGATTGCCGTAAAGCTTTATTGCCGGTGTTAACTTTGAGAGCCATTTGTGTGCCATTGTTTAATTTACCCAAAGGTTGGGCCTCCCACATGCGGGCCACGGAGCCTAAAAAATTTGACGAGTACATGAATAGTGAGCGTACGGAAATGTTTGAGAGGGTTTCGAAACTAGATCCGACCTATGTGGAGAAGATATTGTTCCCGGTGCAAGAGATAATGGAATATTTTAATTTTAAGGCCAAATAAAATCAACATTTAAAATAAAATTAGAAATCATTCAAACTTTGTTTCAAGGCGTAAATTTTTAAAGAAAAAAATTTCAAGGCCTTAGACAAGGCGTGGATTTTTAAAAAATATTTTTGAAAAGGCCTTAGACCAGGCGTGGATTTTTAAAGAATATTTTTGAAAAGGCCTTAGACGAGGCGTGGATTTTTAAAGAATATTTTTGAAAAGGCCTTAGACAAGGCGTGGATTTTTGAAGAATATTTTTGAAAAGGCCTTAGACAAGGCGTGGATTTTTGAAGAATATTTTTGAAAACGCCTTAGACAAGGCGTGGATTTTTAAAGAATATTTTTGAAAACGCCTTAGACAAGGCGTGGATTTTTAAAGAATATTTTTGAAAACGCCTTAGACAAGGCGTGGATTTTTAAAGAATATTTTTGAAAACGCCTTAGACAAGGCGTGGATTTTTAAAGAATATTTTTGAAAACGCCTTAGACAAGGCGTGGATTTTTAAAGAATATTTTTGAAAACGCCTTAGACAAGGCGTGGATTTTTAAAGAATATTTTTGAAAACGCCTTAGACAAGGCGTGGATTTTTAAAGAATATTTTTGAAAACGCCTTAGACAAGGCGTGGATTTTTAAAGAATATTTTTGAAAACGCCTTAGACAAGGCGTGGATTTTTAAAGAATATTTTTGAAAACGCCTTAGACAAGGCGTGGATTTTTAAAGAATATTTTTGAAAACGCCTTAGACAAGGCGTGGATTTTTAAAGAATATTTTTGAAAACGCCTTAGACAAGGCGTGGAAAAGAATATTTTTGAAAACGCCTTAGACAAGGCGTGGATTTTTAAAGAATATTTTTGAAAACGCCTTAGACAAGGCGTGGATTTTTAAAGAATATTTTTGAAAACGCCTTAGACAAGGCGTGGATTTTTAAAGAATATTTTTGAAAACGCCTTAGACAAGGCGTGGATTTTTAAAGAATATTTTTGAAAACGCCTTAGACAAGGCGTGGATTTTTAAAGAATATTTTTGAAAACGCCTTAGACAAGGCGTGGATTTTTAAAGAATATTTTTGAAAACGCCTTAGACAAGGCGTGGATTTTTAAAGAATATTTTTGAAAACGCCTTAGACAAGGCGTGGATTTTTAAAGAATATTTTTGAAAACGCCTTAGACAAGGCGTGGATTTTTAAAGAATATTTTTGAAAACGCCTTAGACAAGGCGTGGATTTTTAAAGAATATTTTTGAAAACGCCTTAGACAAGGCGTGGATTTTTAAAGAATATTTTTGAAAACGCCTTAGACAAGGCGTGGATTTTTAAAGAATATTTTTGATAACGCCTTAGACAAGGCGTGGATTTTTAAAGAATATTTTTGAAAACGCCTTAGACAAGGCGTGGATTTTTAAAGAATATTTTTGAAAACGCCTTAGACAAGGCGTGGATTTTTAAAGAATATTTTTGAAAACGCCTTAGACAAGGCGTGGATTTTTAAAGAATATATTTCATACAAGGCGTGGATTTTTTAAAGAATATATTTCATACAAGGCGTGGATTTTTTAAAGAATATTTGTTTAATTAAATTATCATACTCGCTATATTATCTCCCAGCCAGACTGTCGAACTTCTACAATCTCTGGTAATTACCCGACAGGTAAATTTCACGTGTATGCTATGGTAAACATAATCTACGTATTTGTTTAGACTATCTGTCAATTACAATTTTAGTTATAAAATAATCCGAAAAAAACATTACCTTGTCAGAATTATACCTGTTGGCCAGGCGCTGTTGTCGTCTACAGAACACTATCTAATCAATCGAATATAGGCTTAACTATAAACGGCATTTTTTAAAGAATATTTTTTAATTATATTATCATACTCGCCCTATTATCTCCCAGCCAGACTGAAGAGAATAGAGACTGTAATACGAGTGTTATACGAAGTGAAAACTCACTACAGATGTTTGAAGTTTGTAAATTTTATTTATAGAGGTTCGACACAAAATTTTACCTTTTTCTAAAAATGAGTTATGATACATCTTGCCATATAAGAATTAAGGCGACCCTATTCCTCGTATATATAATATAGAATGATTTTTTTCAAAATCTTCTGCTTCTAAATTATGAACACCTTAACATTCCACAGAATACTACGTAGATTCAGATTCATATTTTTAATATAAACACATAACAATTTGCCGATCGAATACAAACCCTATATAAAACTTAGTATACCCTCCATTCGCTTGATAAGTCTTCACAACTGACTCACTTTTCGCGTATCTCATCATTTCGCTTCGATAATAGTTAACCGCTCAGTTGTATTTTAATATTCCGACGAAGTAGATCGCTGTATCGCTTGTTCCGTTGCCGTTGTTATCACATGTTTGTTGTATTTATTTCAAATTAATTAATTCATTAATTCAAATCGTAATGAATGATCAACAGAATAATAAAGAATTAATCGAACGCCATAGTCGTGATGATCTGGTAACACGGGAAGAATGTGAACAAATATTGGAGAAAATACTGAAAGAACAGGGCGACATCAAGGGTGTGCTAAAGGAATATGAAATTGTTCCTGAATTAAGTACTATCGGATATTTGGGAGAATATTTTCATCTACATTTGAAATATCAAAAGGAGGGGGTAAGTAAAATAACATAATATTATAAAAAAATCCGAAAAGGCAATAAGCTCTAAAAGGTCGTATTTTTATACACTATTTTCTAAAAGATCATATGCTCAATGGGCGCGGAGTTTTAAAAAATATTTTCTGAAGAATGACTTTAAGGTCTTAAGACGTGGATTTTTAAAGATTAGTCTGTTAAGAAATATAAGTCTTTAATTGTGTTTCTTTAATAATGTTTTGGCGAGGCCTTGGTAAGATCATATTCTTAAAAACGGCTATTAGTTCTGTAGGCGGGGTTTGTTTAAGAATATTTCCTAATCAATATTTCCTAATCAGAAAATACCCAAGCTTATATAGCTTGGATATTTTCTGAAGAAGGATCAGTTTTATAACCTGATTTTAAGGAGGACTATCAGCAATGTACTCCTGTGTTTTCAAAATAGTTTCTGAAGAAGTTTAGGAAGAATGTTCTTAAGATCCATCTACTGCTATCAATTCAAGAAGAACGAAATTACAGTTTTAGGGTGGAAAATTCGCATAAAATATATCTACTAAAAAAAGCTCCCTGAAAACATCCTGTCCTACTAAATAAAGGTGCTGGAAAATATCCTGTCCTATTAAATAGAGGTCCTTGAAAAAATACTTTTTAAAAATATTTTTTTAACCCGCGCCTGTTGTGCATTTCGAAAAAAAAAAATTGTAAATCCTCCTATTGCTGATCTTGAATGACCATTTTTTTATAAATCCACGCCTGTTTTGGATCTTGGAAAATAACTTTCTAAAAATACATATTGACTAAAGTTTTAAAAAATAGTCTTTGTAAATCAAATCTTGTCTAAGGCCTTAAAAAACTTAAAAATCTACGCTTTGAAAAAACATTCTTTAAAAAATCCACTCCTTGAAAAAATGATCTTTAAAAATCTGCGCTTTGTCTCCACGCCTTGTCTGAGGCCACGCCTTGTCTGAGGCCTTTTCAAAAATATTCTTTAAAAAATCCACGCCTTGCGTAAGGCCTTTTCAAAAATATTATTTAAAAAATCCACGCCTTGCGTAAGGCCTTTTCAAAAATATTATTTAAAAAATCCACGCCTTACCTAAGGCCTTTTCAAAAATATTATTTAAAAAATCCACGCCTTGCCTAAGGCCTTTTCAAAAATATTCTTTAAAAAATCCACGCCTTTTATTGGTCCTTGAAGGCCTTTTCCTTGAAAAAATATTCTTTAAAAAATCCACGCCTTTTATTGGTTTGAAAAAATATTCTTTAAAAAATCCACGCCTTTTATTGGTCCTTGAAAAAATATTCTTTAAAAAATCCACGCCTTGTTTAAGGCCTTTACAAAAATATTCTTTAAAAAATCCACGCCTTTTATTGGTCCTTGTTTAAAAAAATCCAGGCCTTTACAAAAAATATTCTTTAAAAAATCCACGCCTTGTTTAAGGCCTTTACAAAACTATTCTTTAAAAAATCCACGCCTTGTTTAAGGCCTTTACAAAACTATTCTTTAAAAAATCCACGCCTTTTATTGGTCCTTGAAAAAATATTCTTTAAAAAATCCACGCCTTTTATTGGTCCTTGAAAAAATATTCTTTAAAAAATCCACGCCTTTTATTGGTCCTTGAAAAAATATTCTTTAAAAAATCCACGCCTTTTATTGGTCCTTGAAAAAATATTCTTTAAAAAATCCACGCCTTTTATTGGTCCTTGAAAAAATATTCTTTAAAAAATCCACGCCTTTTATTGGTCCTTGAAAAAATATTCTTTAAAAAATCCACGCCTTTTATTGGTCCTTGAAAAAATATTCTTTAAAAAATCCACGCCTTTTATTGGTCCTTGAAAAAATATTCTTTAAAAAATCCACGCCTTTTATTGGTCCTTGAAAAAATATTCTTTAAAAAATCCACGCCTTTTATTGGTCCTTGAAAAAATATTCTTTAAAAAATCCACGCCTTTTATTGGTCCTTGAAAAAATATTCTTTAAAAAATCCACGGCTTTTATTGGTCCTTGAAAAAATATTGTGTAAAAAATCCACGCCTTGCATTGGTCCTTCAAAAATATTCTTTGAAAAATCCAGGCCTTGTCTAAGGCCTTTTCAAAAATATTTTTTAAAAAATCCACTCTAAAAAATCCGCTCTAGAAAAATATTCTTTAAAAAAATCTATGCCTATATTGGTCCTTAAAAATCCACGCCCATAATGGTCCTTAAAATATTTTTTAAAAAATCCGCTCATTTTATAGGACCTCGGAAAATATTATTTAAAAATCCACCCCTTGTATTGATCCTTAAAAAATAGTATTTAAAACTTTCACGCTCGTGGATCCTTAAAGATAAAGACCTGCGTTGGTCCTTGAAAAAATAATTTTTAGCACTCCACGTCTAATTAAGATCCTTTAAATGATTTCAGGACAATGATTTCACTCACATTCGACTATTTGTAAAAACCAAACCATATCAGAACCCTGATATGTCAGATTTTATTGAACGTTCCGGCATGCTGAAAAAGGAGGCTACCCTATACCAAAGACTACTAAATGAGCTTAAGAAGCTGAGTAAGGAACCATAAAACCATATTTCAAAATTTGAAGCAATGTTAATTTTTATTTTTAATTTCATTTCCAGCTCCCAATATTTGGTGTGCCCAGTGTTATCTAGTGAAGCCCGATCTCTTTGTCATGCAAAACATAGTTGACTTGGGTTATGAACCCATGAAAGATTCTTCTGTGTTCCTAAATAAACCACAAATCTGCTCCATACTGAAGGGTCTGGCCAGTATGCATGCCTGCAGTGTGGGCTATGAACAAAAGAACAAAATTAAAATTGGTGAGGAACTAAAGGATGTGCTCTATGAGGTGACAGTTAATCCCAAAGTTGTGTGGTATACGGCGGGTATAAAGGTGGGTACATCAAGTGAATTAAAATAATAATATTGTAAAAAATATATTTTTAATTTCAGGCAACCTTGGCTGTGACCCTTAAGCACCCGAACTACCAAACCGAACCTTTACAGGAGTTCATTAAAAATCGTCTACCCTCAATTTTGGATACAGTCTACGATATGGTTAATCCCTCCTCTAAATATTACAATGTCTTTTGTCATCGTGATGTCTGGGGTGGCAATGTTTTCTTTGCCAAAGAGAATCCCTATGAAAAGGGAGCAGCATTTGTAGATTTCCAGCTATGTCGTTATTCTCCAGCAGCCATAGATGTCCTTATGACCCTCTATATGAACATTAAACCTTCGGAACGTAAACAAATTGAAAGAGAATGCTACGCGGTATATTATCAACAATTTCAGGAAGAATTATCCAAAATGTCCTTGAAGGCCAGCGATTTTATGACCTATGAAGAATTTGAGAAGTCTTTGAAAGATTTGGCATTATTTGGAGCGCTGTATAATTGTATAGCGGCAACAATTTTACGTGTTCCCGGAGATTATTTGCGGGATATGAAACTAAATCGCCCAGATGATTTTCATCGTTATACAAATGTCGATAGGACAGATGAAGTATTGGAATTGGTCAAAATTGATGCAGATTTTCGGGAATATATGCTGGAATGTATTGATGATATGATGGAGTTGGTTTTAAATGAATATTTTTATAATAAATAAAGTATTAGAAAATTTTATAAAAAATTGAGTCCTTTAGAAAATACTCTTTAAAAAGTCCACGCCTATGATTGTCCTTTAGAAAATATCCTTAAAAAATCCATGCCTATGATAGTCCTTTAGAAAATATTCTTTAAAAAATTAACGCCTATGATAGTCCTTTAGAAAATATTCTTTAAAAAATCCACGCCTATGATAGTCCCTTAGAAAATATTTTTTTTAAAAAATCCACGCCTATGATAGTCCTTTAGAAAATCTTCTTTAAAAAATCCACGCCTATGATAGTCCTTTAGAAAATCTTCTTTAAAAAATCCACGCCTCTGATAATCCTTTAGAAAATCTTCTTTAAAAAATCCACGCCTATGATAGTCCTTTAGAAAATCTTCTTTAAAAAATCCACGCCTATGATAGTCCTTTAGAAAATCTTCTTTAAAAAATCCACGCCTATGATAGTCCTTTAGAAAATCTTCTTTAAAAAATCCACGCCTATGATAGTCCTTTAGAAAATCTGCTTTAACAAATCCACGCCTATAATAGTCCTTTAGAAAATCTTCTTTAAAAAATCCACGCCTATGATAGTCCTTTAGAAAATCTTCTTTAAAAAATCCAAGGCTATAAAAAATCGATTTTTATTAAAATTTGTTTTATTGTTTTAATTTATTTACAAAAAATTCACATCTGTTAGAACGTCTCATCCTTCGTCGTCATGTCCACCACTGCTTCAATAACATCCTCCACACATTCTTCCATTAGCATGCGGAATTCCTCATTCTCCTCCATATATTCCATCAAAGGCGTTGTTCGCTCCACATTTTTATACTCTTCGGTGACAATTTCTTTGGGAACTTTTAAAATGGTCACAGCCAAGGCCCGGTAGACATAACCGAATAATTTAAACTCCTTATAAGATTCCAAGAAATCCTCTTCACTTAGACCCCAACTCTCGCCACCATCATCGTCATTTGATGCCAGAATACCTTTGAATTGATCCCAGTAATATCTCAAATATTCCTCCTCGCGTTCCATTCTCTCCTCTTTATTCAAATTCATGAAGAGGGTGAAGATCACATCAATCACCGGTGGGCAATAGCGGCAGGTTTGAAAATCCACAAACATGGCGGAGCCATCTGGGTCTTCCGAATTTAGAAATATATTACCACCCCAGGTGTCACGATGACACACCACGTTGCGATATTTTGGCGAAGGGTTTACCATAAAATACACAGATTTCAAATGATATGGCAACTCTTTGTCGATAAATTCCTGTGAGACCTCTTCTTGATATTTTGGATGTTGCTTTGCAATTTCTAATATGGTTTTAAGGCCGGTTGTAAACCAGGGTATTTCTGGATGAACGGTAATTTCTTTGAGGCAATCATAAAAATTATCTTCGATGGTCTTATCGTAAAGTTCATAGAGTAAGCTGGAAGCATGCATTGCCGCCAGTCCTCTGAGTATGGCAAATATTTCAGATTCCTCCAAGGTATCCCTGTTGTTCAGGGAATGATAACCCAACTCTTCGAGATCTTCCAAGACCAGAAGTTGTGAGGAACATAAATATACCTTGGGGCACCATGGTTGGGGAGCTGGAAAGGAGAAAGGGAAAATTAATAAATAATAAATAGTTCCAGGGTCGGTAGGCTTGAAAAAAAAATATTCTTTAAAAAATCCACGCCTTGTTTAGGTCTCTCAAAAAATATTCTTTAAAAAATCCACGCCTTGTTTAGGTCTCTCAAAAAATATTCTTTAAAAAATCCACGCCTTGTTTAGGTCTCTCAAAAAATATTCTTTAAAAAATCCACGCCTTGTTTAGGTCTCTCAAAAAATATTCTTTAAAAAATCCACGCCTTGTTTAGGTCTCTCAAAAAATATTCTTTAAAAAATCCACGCCTTGTTTAGGTCTCGAAAAAAATATTCTCAAGTGTTCTTTAAAAAATCCACGCCTTGTTTAGGTCTCTCAAAAAATATTCTTTAAAAAATCCACGCCTTGTTTAGGTCTCTCAAAAAATATTCTTTAAAAAATCCACGCCTTGTTTAGGTCTCTCAAAAAATATTCTTTAAAAAATCCACGCCTTGTTTAGGTCTCTCAAAAAATATTCTTTAAAAAATCCACGCCTTGTTTAGGTCTCTCAAAAAATATTCTTTAAAAAATCCACGCCTTGTTTAGGTCTCTCAAAAAAAATTCTTTAAAATATCCACGCCTTGTTTAGGTCTCTCAAATAATATTCTTTAAAAAATCCACGCCTTGTTTAGGTCTCTCAAAAAATATTCTTTAAAAAATCCACGCCTTGTTTAGGTCTCTCAAAAAATATTCTTTAAAAAATCCACGACTTGTGGATCCTTGAAAATGATCGATACTTACAATATTCCTGCAATTCCATCAGCAGCGAGCTGTACAGACGACTCTCTTTCTGAAAGATAATAACTTTTTCGTGCAGCTCATGCACCAGGGGAAGTTTCTTTACAAAAAACTTCAAACTCTTGCCAAGAAAATCGTCCTCAGAGTTGTTATTTTCCTCTGCCTCAGCATTTTCTTCTGTTGACTATAAATTACAAAAACGCCTTAAAGTATGCTACACATTTTATAAATGGTTGTAAAACTCACCTCTCCATCCTCATTCACCTCATCTTCTGCTGCTTCTGCTTCAGCTATTTCAGTACAAAGCAAATTCAGGTGAAAATATTCGCCCAAAAAACCTTTCACCTCTTCCGCTGGGGTTACGTTAAAACTTAGCAATTTCAAATCCGATTCATGTTCGTCGTTATATTTTTGTAAAATTTGCCGGCACTGTTTGCCATTGATGACAGTTGCCAGATTGTCATTTAACATTGTTGCCATAACATGCGAACACTTTTTTTTCAAATTTTGTTTGTTTATGTTTTGCTTAGGGGGTGTTGTTGTTTATTATTATTTTCTGGCCGGTATCCAAATTTATTTCGAAAATTGAAAAATTGTTGTTGTTACAATTTTCTTTGTTGACACTTTGATGTTGTTTTTGTTGTTATGAAATTTTGTAGTTGTTGTTGTTTTCAAATATTGTTTGCCTGTTCTATTCTTTGCGACTTGTTAATATCCACTGACCGGCATGCACTTGCGAACGGCTTTCTTTGGCCCACACTTATTTACACCTCGCGCTTTTCGTTAGTTGCGTTCTGCGCCGTGTTTTTTTATTTTCGATTTTATTTTTAATTTTTTGTTTGCTATTTAATCTAATCATCATCATTTACTCAAGTGTATGCAGCAACATACATTTCTACACTGGCTTTCGTATCAATACACGCCCTATAAATTCGGTAATATCTTTGAAATTAATAACCCAATCCACAAAAAAAAATTGACTCATTCGAGGTGATTGTTTGGCTTTAGTTTTTTATTTTAAATTTCAAAAGAAATTATGCTGATAAAATTTTTTTGTTGTCGCTTTCATTCGACAACAACTACTGAATATTCTTTGACGTCGTGTAGAAGTTGGAAACGTTGCATTCTGCCACAACAAAATAATTGTGCAAATATTTATCTGAAAGCGAAGTCAATTATCAGCATTTGTTACAAAACAGCGGCATCATATTTCATTGATAATGAATGGCAAGGTCGTTAAGTAGTAAATTATGGAAGGTAGTTCTTCATTATGGGGAATAATAAAGAATCTAAGAAAAAAATATTTTTTTAAGGGCCGATACAAGGCGTGGTTTTAGAATAATATTTTTTCATGGACCAACACAAGGCGTGGATTTTTTTAAGAATATTTTTAGAGACCTAAACAAGGCGTGGATTTTTTTAAGAATATTTTTAGAGGCCTAAACAAGGCGTGAATTTTTTTAAGAATATTTTTTAGAGACCTAAAAAAGGCGTGGATTTTTTTTTAAGAATATATTTTAGAGACCTAAACAAGGCGTGGATTTTTTTTTTTTTTTGAGCTCTAAACAAGGCGTGGATTTTTTAAATAATTTTTTTCGAGCTCTAAACAAGGCGTGGATTTTTTTTTTAAGAATATTTTTAAGAGACCTAAACAAGGCGTGGATTCTTTTTATTCATTTTTCCTTTCTCCTTTCCACCCCCTCAACCATGGTGTCTTAAGGTATATTTATGTTCCTTACAACTTCTGGTATTGCAAGATCTCGAAGAGTTGGGTTATCTTTCCCTGAACAACAGGGAGACTCTTGAAGAATCTTAAATATTTGCCATACTCAGAGAACTGGCGGCAATGCATGCCTCCAGCTTACTCTATGAACTTTACGATAAAGCAATTGAAGATCATTTTTACGATTGCCTCAAAAAATTACCTTACATCCAGAAATACGCTGGCTTACAACCGGTCTTAAAACCGTATTAGAAATTGCAAAACAACATCCAAAATATCAAGAAGAGGTCTCACAGGAATTTATCAATAAAGAGTGTGTATTTTATGGTAAACCCATCGCCAAAATATCGGAATGTGGTGTGTCATCGTGGCACATGGGGTGGAAATATATTTTTAAATTCGGAAGACCCAGATGCTTCCGCCATGTTTGTAGATTTTCAAACCTGCCGCGATTGCCCCCCGGCAATTGATGTCATCTTTCCTTTGTTTATGAATTTGAGAATGGAATGCGAGGAGGAGTATTTGAAATATTATTGGGACCAATTTAAGAGTATTTTGGCATCAAATGACGATGATGGTGGCGAGAGTTGGGGTCTAAGTGAATCGGATTTCCTGGAATCTTATAAGGAGTTTAAATTGTTCGGTTATGTCTACCGGGCCTTGACTGCGACTATTTTGAATGTTCCCAAAGAAATTGTCACCGAAGAGTATAAAAATGTGGAGCGGACAACGCCATTGATGAAGTACATGGAGGAGAATGAAGAATTTCGAATGCTAATGGAAGAATGTGTGGAGGATGTTATTGAAGCAGTGGCGAACATGTCGACGAAGGATGAGACTTTTTAACAAATGTGATTGTTTTTTTTTTTTTTTTTTTTTTGTAAATAAAATAAAAAAATAATATTTTTCTGGATAACTCTTTTTTTAAATAGGACTATCAGCTATCTAGGCGTGGATTTTTAAAGAACATTTTGTAAAGGATTATCAGCTCCTTAGGCGTGGAGAATATTTTTGAAAAGGATCCATACAAGGCGTGGATTTTTTAAAGAATATTTTTAAGGACCAATACAAGGCGTAGATTATTTAAAGAATAATTGTTTAGAAACCTAAACAGGGCGCAGATTTTTTAAAGAATACTTTTTAAGGACCAATACAAGGCGTAGATTATTTAAAGAATAATTGTTTAGAAACCTTAACAAGGCGCAGATTTTTTAAAGAATATTTTTTTTTAGAAACCTTAACAAGGCGCAGATTTTTTAAAGAATATTTTTTTTAGAAACCTTAACAAGGCGTAGATTTTTTAGAGAATATTTTTAGGGACCAATACAAGGACTTGATTGTTTAAAAAATATTTTTAAGGGATGAAGGACTAGTTGGTCTCACGGCTCTCTGAAGGACTAGTTGGTCTCTAGACTCTCTGAAAGACCAACTGGTCTCTAGACTTTCTGAAAGACCAACTAGTCTCAAGACTCTCTGAAGGACTAGTTGGTCTATAGGCATGGATTGTTATCAGTGCAGCAGGCGTGGATTTTTAAAGAATATTTTCTAAAGGACTATCAGCTCCATAGGCGTGGATTTTTTAAAGAATATTTTCTAATGGACTATCAGCTCCATAGGCGTGGATTTTTTAAAAAATATTTTCTAATGGACTATCAGCTCCGTAGGCGTGGATATTTTCTAAAGGTCCATATCTAGGCATGGATTTTTAAAGAATATTTTCTAAAGGTCCATATCTAGGCATGGATTTTTAAAGAATATTTTCTAAAGGACTATCAGCTCCGTAGGCGTGGATATTTTCTAAAGGTCCATATTTAGGCATGGATTTTTAATTAATATTTTCTAAAGGTCTATATCTAGACATGGATTTTTAAAGAATATTTTCTAAAGGACTATCAGCTCCGTAGGCGTGGATATTTTCTAAAGGTCTATATCTAGGCATGGATTTTTAATTAATATTTTCTAAAGGACTATAGATAATATTCTTAAAAAAAAAATAATATTTTGTAAAGGACTATATTATATTCTCTAATGGACTATCAGTTATCTTCTCTTCTCTTTATTTATAATTAATATTGGTTTTACATTATACTGGTTTTCCGATAGCTTAGACTTCCTTAAATACGGCCTGTCTGTCATATTTTTTTAATCATCCAGATCTCGGTAATTTAGACAATGTTTCGCCGCTCATTGCTGTTGCCTTTGCTGCCGTAGCATACGCTTTTTGGCCATCATGCTTCCATAAGGGCGTATAGTGGCATAATATAAGATCTCCACAAAACTCAACAGGCTGGCACCTACAAATAGGCCCGTAGTTCCGCCAATTGATACTAAAATTAAAATTTGGAAGTTAAACGAATAGTTTATATTTCTTCATAACATCGTGACTCTTACCAACCAAATCCAATTTATCTCGCACCAAATTTCGCTTATAACGTTCCGTGGGTAATTCCACCAAGGCAATTTCTACCTTTGAATAAGGAATTTGACTGTAAATACTGAGAACAAATGATTTTTTAATTAATTTAAAATTAAAAAAATAAAGGTGGCGTATGCGTAATATAGGGACATTTAAATTAATTCCACATACTTGAGGCATTTACAAATTGTTTCATACGCTCCCTTGCACCATCACTTAAAACAAAATCAAATCAAAACAAAACAATCAGCCTCCTTACTTATCTTTACTATCCACCGCCGTTGTGATATCCACTTCCGTGCACGATGGCAAACAATCACACACCAAACCACGACGACTCTTTGACCACTTCGCTATAATCACCGATAAATCTTCATAATTACGATTTAGACACTCCAACCCGTCCATATTGCACATTTGATGACTGGGTGTATTAGGAGCCAAGTGACTGGAACAATTACACAATTCCAGCTGCCTATCCTTGCGGCACTGCACCGTGCAGGCACTATAGCTGTAGTAACGATGAACATCTAAATTATTTTCATCATTGAAACGGCAATTGCGTTGAGAGATTTTCGTATCGCGAATCTCCTCGTCATTTTGGATATCATGTTTGGCAATGTGACGCCTGGAATGGGGAGGAGGGAATTTTTAAAGTGATTTTGAGGAAAATGTTGTGAAGGAACTTACACAAAAGAAATATAAGGACTAACTATGAGATAGTCCGTTTTTGGGGTAACCAAGGTAGGAACTTCTTCCTCGCCTAGAATGAAAACCTATGAAAAAATTAAAAAAATGTCCGTTAGAAAAATTTCCACACCTACATAGCTGATAGTCCTTTAGAAAATATTCTTTAAAAATCCAAGTCTAGATAGCTGATAGTCCTTTAGAAAATATTCTTTAAAAATCCAAGTCTAGATAGCTGATAGTCCTTTAGAAAATATTGTTTAAAAATCCACGCCTATGTAGCTGATAGTCCTTTAGAAAATAATGTTTAAAAATCCACGCCTATGTAGCTGATAGTCCTTTAGAAAATATTCTTTAAAAATCCACGCCTATGTAGCTGATAGTACTTTAGAAAATATTCTTTAAAAATCCACGCTTTTGGAGCTGATAGTCCATTAGAAAATATTCTTTAAAAATCCGATCCTAGAGGTCTGATAGTCCTTCAGATATTATTGTTTAAAAATCGAAGCCTAGAGACCACATTGTCCTTCAGAATTTATTCTTAAAAAATACATGCCTAGAGGCCAGATAGTCCTTCAGAATTTGGTCTTTGAAAATTCATACTTTTTAGTCGTTTTTCTAAATGGTTTTGAGTCCTGGATTTAAAGTATGTTTATTACGTTTGTTGAAACCCCTAAAAATCCACGCCAGGTGGACTCCTTAAAAAAACTATTATTTAAAAAGCCACGCCTTTTTCAGGTCCTTGAAAAACTATTCCCTAAAAATTAAGGTCCTTGAAAAACTATTTCTTAAAAATACACGCCTTGTGCTGGTCTACGAAAAAATATTCCTTAAAGGCCACGCCTTGTACAGGTCCTTGAAAAACTATTCCTTAAAAATCCATGCAATGTTCAGGTCATTGGAAAACTATTCCTAAGAAGGCCACGCCTTGTGCTGGTCTATGAAAAAATATTCCTTAGAAGTCCACGCCTTGTGCTGGTATATGAAAAAGTATTCCTTAAAAATACACGCCTACATTGATCCTTTGAAAAAATATTATATAGAACATTCACGTCTACATTGGTCCTTGAAAAAATATTCTTTAAAAAATCGACGCCTTTATTGATGGGACCTTTTCAAAAATATTCTTTAAAAACCACGACTTTTATAGATCCTCGAAAAAATATTCTATATATTCCTCTATTCCTACATAAAATATATAATTTTTGTTTTAAAAATCTACGCTTAGAGTCCTAAAATTTTATCTACAGCATTTTACTTTTACTTACCACTGCCTCTGTGTGTATATCTAATTTTAGATTCCCGGGTCCAGTATAACGATTCGACCACATATTCAGTTTCGGACCACCATTATTTCTGTTGAAAAAATAATTTATTGAAATCGAAAATCTGAGAAAGACTCAAGCTTATATAGCTTACCCAGCCTGCAGTGAATTAATGGCATAGCACAGTCCCAACTCGGTTTCCATGCGATGGAAAAATTTACAACACTGAAATGGTTTATTGTTCCACATACAATTTTTGATGGTATTCTCACAACTGCTCCGCACCAACTGGGCATAATATGAGAAATTGCTATAGAAACAATTCTCTGAAGGTTCTTCACCGCCACACTCATGCACTGTGTGATACGATTCGCCACGAAAGAAGGCAATTTCACTCAAGACCTCCTCCAAAGTGAAATCGTGATCAGCACCCCAAAGTCTGAGGGAAACCATTTTATTTAGATTTTGTTCGAAATACATAGTAAAAAATTGGACTTACTGTTCTGCAACTTCTTGTATGCGATCCATATTCTTGGATTCACACACCACAATGGCTGGAAAGTTGGTCTCCCAATCACGATAACTGGACTCGACACCAAAACTAATGGAATTGTTTTCAAAGGCATCTAACATTTTTTTTTCAAAAATTGGGGGATTTAAAATTTTTATTTTAGAGAACCGAATTATTTTTTAGGATAGATTCCTCAAGTTTTTAAATTTTGTTTGTCCTTAAACATATCCACCATTTTGTCTTGGTTAAAATCTTCTTACCCAATGACACCTTTATCAGCTTCCATGAGGCAAACCACGAGGCGACCAAACACATAACCCAAAATAATTTCTCAATCCAGGATAGCTCCTTATCCACAATGAAACGTGCTCCATGCAATGTGGAGTTTTCCAAATATTCTTTAGCCACATCACGTAAACGAATCATGGCTGTTAACGAAGAATACTTTTCCCGTTTGTATATCTTTTACTTTATGAGACTGACAAACAACTGACAATGATTCGAAAGGACTGCATTATATTTCACCTCTGACCTGTGGGACACTTTGGTAGATAATTAATGTTGATTACGAGATAATCGAAGGGTCATGTTATATAACAGATGTAATTATCCTCTTCGAGATTGTTTATCTGGCAGACAGAATGTGTTGAACATTTGGTATAATTCTCACGTCGAACATATTATGGTAGGGGATAAATGAGCCATTTTAAAAAAATAAAGAAATAATGTTGTAAATATATCAATTGAAATAAAATAAAACAATATAAAATTTAAACATAAAATTTTATTAAATAAAATATTATTTTAAATGGCTGGAATGGCCTTTAAAAAATATATTTTTAATCCACACTTGTGGTAATGATTAAAAATATTCTTTAAAATGTACACGCATGGTATGGTCTATGAAAATATTCTAATAAATATACACAGTTGGAACGGTGCTTGAAAATAAGTAAGTAAGGAAAGT